ATGGTGCCCGCGGATCTGCTTGTGCGCATAGAGTGGACCTGCTGCGATGCCACCCGCCCGCTGCGAGAGCGCACCGCGATGGGCTGCTTCAACGAGGAGTACACCGAGGAAATCTGCTGCATGCCCGAGGGGGGGGACCCCGCCGTCAGCGACGCCAACCTCGCACCCCGGAGGGGCGAGGCGCCCTGGCAGGTGGACGAGGCTTGCGCGCACCAGTGGGGAGGCGGCGCCAACGTCGTGGCACCCGAGGAGCCTAAGGCCAGCAGCGGCGCCGCGAGCACGGTGCCCCGCTGCGGCGGCGAGCGGCTCTTCAGCTGGGACGGCACCGCGGTGCGGCGCGTCGGCAACGGGCCCTTTGAGGTCTGGGACCTCTCGCCCTGCCGCTGGCGGCGCTGCGCCCGCGCCGACCTGCGGCTGGTGGCCGCGGTGCCCGCCGGGGTCGTGTGGGTGCCCCCGCATACCATGGACCAGCTCGCGGTGCTGGCTACGACCTCAGACGGGCCAGCGGGCGGCGGGCCCGCGGGGGCGGGGGCGGAGGTGCTGAGCCTGTGGAGGCCCAACTGGTTCCGGCAGGCGCGCCCGCTCGAGCGCGCGGCGCCCCCCGAGGAGAGGCCCTCGGTCCACGTCCTCGTCCTGGACGCGGTGAGCCGGACGGCGCTCCGCCGCGCGATGCCGAGGCTGCACGAGTTCCTGCTGCGCGAGGCGGCCGCGCCCGCGCCGCGGGGCACGCCGGCGCCGCCGGACACGCCGGCCGTGCCCGCCAGCCACGAGGTGGCCTCCTTCTCGCGCTACCACACGTCGCAGCCTGGGGGCACGCTCTCGCAGCTGTTTCCTGCCTTCTTCGGCGGCCTGCGCCGCTGCGAGGGGCTCGGTGCCTCGGCGAGCCGCCCCGTGGATGCCGGCGGCATGTACAACGTCACCCGGCTGCTGCGCAAGTGCGCCGCCTTCCCGCGGGGCGCGCTGCGTGAGCTGCGCCGCCACGGGTACCGCCTCGGACTCGCGGCCAGCATGGTCGCCGCCGCAGGCATCGTGCACGGCGAGGGATGGGACTACGTGCTGCCGTATACTGCGGGGCTCATGCCCGGGCTGGACGAGGACCACGTCGACTTCGGGTGCGTGAACGCTCAGCCGTACTACCGGCTGGTGTTGGAGTGGGGCCGGCAGCTCCTCGGGATGCACCGGACGGTCCCGCTCTTTCTCTACACTCACCTCCAGGCTGCGCACGCAGACTTGGACCAGCTAGGTTCGCTGGACGTGCCACTGAGGGATCACCTGATCAGCCTCATGGAGGAGTATCCCGAGGTTCTCTTCCTCGTGGCGTCAGACCACGGTAACGTCTGCCGCCTGTGCGACCAGCGCGCCCCGCTTCTGCACGTGATGGCGCCAAGCAGCCTGCTGCGCGCACGCCCCGCCATCGCGGCTGCGTTGAGGTCGAATCAAGAGCAGGTGGTCTCCGGATGGGACATCTTCGAAACGCTGCTGCACCTCGCAGCTGGCACCTCGACCGCTGCCAGCCCCGGCGGTGCCTTCGGGAGGCTGCTCAAGCGGGGTGTGGGCCAACTCGTTGCCTCGCCAGTGAAGAGCCACCAGGAGGTCACCCTCGTGGACCTGGCCGGGGGCTTCGAGCCCCGCAGCCTCTTTCGGGCCATGCCCGCGGGGCGCACCTGCACCGCCGCCGGCATCCGGCCGCGCCACTGCCAGGTCCGGGCCGCCGTCGAGAGCCAGATCGTCTTCTGCGCACCCTGGGGGGCGCTGAGCAGCATCACTCGGGGCGACCACGCGGCGGCCGATCGGCGGCACGTCACCGCCCCGGCCAACGGTTCCGCCAGGCACCGGAGCAGAGAGAGCACGGCAGGAGCACCAGATGTTCGGGGGTCCGCGCGCGGGCTTCTTGGATCTGCGCCAGGTCCCCCCAGGGGGTAAGTCGGGCCTGTCCCACTGCAGGAGGAGGGGTCAAAAATAGTGAAAAAATAGTCTGGGGGCGATGGTGTGACTATTGTTGCTCATCTTGGGGGCATTTGGGGGGTATGATTTTGTATTTGTTGTCCGAAGTGCCCCTGTAGGGGGACATGCCCGACCTAACCCAGGGTGCGCCTCGAGCGCCGCCACGGGCGCGCCCCGCGCGCCCGGAAGGGGGGGCCAGCGCAGACCCAGGAGATCCGCGCGCACCTCCTGCAATTGATGCTTGTGCAGCTCTGTGCTCCAGGGCTAGACCTGAACGGTGTTTGGGCGATCTCGTGGGCCGTTTTCGTTTCGACCTCGTTTTGCGGTAGAGGTGGAGGGAAGCTAGAAACGAGGGAGACCGAAACAAAGCGAAGACGGGAAACACCGTTTAGGTTCAGCCCTGGCGTGCTCCTCGAGAAGGCAGATGGTGTGCGAGCTCTCCAGGCTGAACTCCCTGGCGATCCTGCTGGACTCGTGGCGGGAGACTTTGTCGGTGCTGGACCCCGGGGGCCTGTGCGCGCGACTCGCCCTCGGGACCCTCGAGTACGTCGCGAGCGACGGCGCAGGGCAGTTCACCATGCGCTTCTCCACCCGGGAGGGGGACCCGCCACGCCTGTTCGGTGCTTCGTTCGAGGTGGGCCACGCGAGCCGGGTGACCTTCCAGCAGGTGAGCCAGATCACCAGGTACCGGAAGTACGAGGCCTGCACCCCGCCGGGCGTGCCCGCGGACATTTGCGTGTGCGACCTCCAGGTCACCCACGGGGGCGCGAAGGTAGCACTTGGAGACTTCGCCATGGATCCCGCAAGGGGGATGAGTCGTTAGACAGGACAAGCGGGGGCAAACACATGGAGCTGCGGTTGCTGTGGCATCTCATTGCACGCGGCGAGTCTTCTCGCGGGGACTTGCGCTTCCATGCCAAGGGGAGGGAAGAGTAGCAGTATGAGGAGGAGTAGCAGTATGAGGAGGAGGAGGAGGAGGAGGAGGAGGAGGAGGAGGAGGAGGAGCCGAGGAGCCGAGGAGCCGAGGAGCCGAGGAGCCGAGGAGCCGAGGAGAGGGAGTGGGAGACGGAGCGGAGAGGGAGGGCCCTCCCCTGCCCCTCCCGCGGCCCCGCCCTCGAGTGCCACCCCGAGCGGGTGTGCCGCCCCTCGGCCGGGGAGCTGCCCGAGCCCAGGGGCCCCCCGCCCCCTCCCCGGGCGCTGCCCCGCGCGGCACGGTCCAAGACGCTGTCCTGCCACAAGGACGGCCCGAAGTGGCCTCGGGCCCTCCCAGGGAGTCGGAGGAGGAAAAGAGACCCATACCCAGACCCCCTCGAGTAATGGAAAAGTCATGACGGGAGGTTTTTCCTAATTTTCGGCCTCCGGGGGCCCTCACCGGGCCTCGGGAGGGTCAAAAAACGGCTCAGGATGCCAAGCCGGTCATGGGGAATGGGTCGGGACCTCTGGGGGTCGACGTAATGAAAAAATCATTACGTCGGGGGTCTGGGTACTGCGACCCCTTCCCACACGCTGGCCTCTTCTGGACCTCCTGGGAGGCCCTCGTTGCCACCGCCAGATTCGCCTCGAGATCCTTGTCGGGACGCACCCTGGGAGAGGTCCAGGGAGCAGCTGCATCGGCGCCTTTTGGTGCCCCCCGTCTTGCCACGCTTCTGGACCCTCTGCTGCGCGCCCCTGGAGGTCCCCAAGGGATATCTCCGGGTCGACCTCCCCGTGATGCCTGTTGTCCTGGATGCAGCGCGTGTGCAGGAGAATCTGTGAAAATATGGGAAGTGGGGGGGGGGAAGACAAAACCTAGAAAATAGGAAAATATGGGGAATCCTGTTATTTGTTTGTATTCATTTGTGTGTCCCAGGGCCCCTTCAATGATGATTCTGGCCTCGTCGCTCTGGCGTCCGAGGCGCCACTCTGGCTCCAAGATCGCCCAAGAGAGGCCTCGCAGGGGCCCGGGAAGGGCCCAAGGCGGGACCAGAGGCCCCCCATCGAGGCCCCCCAAAAGCGCCCCCCAGAGGGCGTCCAAGGGAAGCCTTCATCGCGAAGAGGCCAAGAGGACCGCTCGTGTTGGACGCCACGCTGGTCGCAGGATGGCCCCAGGAGGGCTCCGCGGGCTCCAAGAAACCGCAGCAGAGCCCGAACGAGTCCCACACGCGCCACCCACCCACCCACCGAGCCCCGACAGGGCTCCACGAGTGCTCCAGAAAAGCTACACGTTCATTTTTAATGCTTCGAAGGTTCTTCGATTTTCTGGGGGGCCAAGATCCTCTCATTTCTGATTCTTCTATCCTGGGCCTCTTCCTGGCCTCTGGGGGGCCAGGAACGTGTACACCACGGGTTCGAGGAAGTCCCCCCCCAAAACTCCTCGCGTCCGAGAGGCTCCGCCCAGCTGCGCCGTGGTGTATGTGGGGGGAGGAGCAGACCCCAACCGCGGAGGGGAAGCGGGGGGGGTTGGGGGCGAGCAGGCGCGCCTGAGCCACCTGCGCCCGGAGGGCCGGCGGGACTTTTGTCTCTCCCTGGCCCCCTGGGCCCGCCTGCTGCTGCTGCGGCTGCGGCTGCCGGTCCCGCTCTCTCCTACAGCCGGCCCTGATACGTAGGTCGACCCTGCCAAAGCAAGGGTACCCTTAGGTACCATTGTGTCCTGCGCCTCGCGACCCATGCCTCCTACACCCCCATGGCAACGTGGCCTTCGGAAGGGTCTTGTGTCCTCTCGCGTGTCCTGTCTAATCAAGGCCGACTGTATCATCCTCCCTGTTCTTTCCAGGTCGGCTCCTGCTGCCACTGCTGCTGCTGCTGCTCCTCCTCCGTGCGCAGTGCTTTCGGCTCCAGCATCAGCAGGGCTCTCCGGGACATACCGCTGGTTCCCCAGGATGCTTGCGTAGAGGTGAGGGGCGGGCGCGCCACCCTCTGGCCAAGGGCGGCATGGTGACCATCACGATCAGTAAGGCCAGGCGGATGGCAACCCAAGCCTTTTGAGTGGTCTTGCAAAACGTGAGGGCGGCCAGTGCTGCTGAGTTTTGCCTCCGGAGGCCAGTTTCGGGCTTCGGGGCCCCCGAGAAACGGCCCGCAGCGCGAAGCCGGTGTCAGAAGAAGGGGGAGGGCCCGAGGGGTCCTGAGCCCCTTGGTCGACCAAACGAGGGCGCCTGAGTTGCAGCAGCGCGGGTGTGAGTGGCGGGGCCTTCGGCAGTAGTTTGTTTATGATCTGGCAGACGCAGGGTGATTGTTGAGAAGCACTTTTGCGTACTCCGTTTGCAGTTCCACCCGAAAAGGGGCAGCTCGCGTGGGCGGTCATCCTGATCGTGTGCGCGTTCTACGGGGGGGCGACCCAGGATGTCCGTTCCTTCGTGGTTTTCGTCGTGCACGTCTGCCTGTTGTGGCTGCAGGTGAAGTTCTGCAGGTGGTGCGGCTTCTGTGGACGGCGGCAGAATGCGGCGGCGCCAGCAGCCATTGAGCCCACCGCTCAACCGTGGCAGCTGCAGAAGCGAAAGCGCCTGAGTACTTGCTACCTGCTGTGGCTGATAGGCGGGCCCGTGAGCAACGCGCACCATTTCTACCTCGGGCGAGTGGTGCACGGGCTCTTCGGCATCTGGACCGCGAACCTACTCGGCATCGGTTGGCTATCTGACCTTTTCTTGATGCCGCTCTACGTGCGGGGCTTCAACTCCAAGTACGCCGCGCAAAATGCCGAGAAGGACGGCACGCGCTGGCTGTTGTGCGGCCGGTTGCCGCTGATGCTTCTCGCAGTAGTCGCGTCACTCGTCGGTGGCTTCTGCTACACGCCGTGGCTGCTCCAGCGAGTCGGTGTCGTGGATATTGACCGCCTGAGTGCGCAGACGCAGGTCAACCCGTACAAGGTCCTGGAACTGCCGCGGGGCGGTGCGATGACCGACGTAAAGAGTGCCTACCGCAGGCTCGTTCGGTGGCAAATGATGGGAGCCCCGTGTGTCCTCGGAAAAGTCCGCCCGTAGATTGCGTTCGCGTGCGCCAGCGTGTGGTAGTCGATGGGAACGCGCCGAGTGAGCGGCGATTGGCTTCGACGTAGCGTCGACTGGCGTCGGTTTGCGTCGGTTCGCAAGAGCCAGCGAAGCTGTTTGGGAGGATCCCATGAGTTGCCTACCAAAGGCTCAGCAAAGAGTGGCACCCAGACCACAACCCGAACTGTGGCAAGCGTTGCGACGACAAGATGGCCGAGATCAACAAGGCGTTCGACGCCATCAAGAAGCGGCAGGCGCCCCTGCCAGAGGACAACACTTGGGGGCACATGGTCGAGCACACTCTGGAGGACGACTCAGCACCGTCAAACCGATCCCCATCCCAACTGGGCCAGTGGACCTCAGGCCCACGAGGTCGCCCGCCCAGGTGAGGAGAGGTCCCGCGAAGCCCACAGGGAACAGCATACATGATCCCGGGTCGAGGACTCACAGGCCCCCCCCCCCTCCCCGGATGGGATGGGCCCCAGGGCGCCACGGGCCCCCCCCCAATCCCAAATGGGATGGGGGGGGGCGCCGACGTCGACTCCGACTCCGACGACGACGACGCCGACGACGACGACGCCGGCGCCGACGCCGACGCCGAGCCGACGCCGACGCCGTTGCCGACGCCGACGCCGACGCCGACGCTGCCGCCACCGACGCCGACGCCGACGCCGACGCTGCCGCCACCGACGACGACGACGACGACGACGACGATGACGACGACGACGACAACGACAACGCCAACGCCAACGCCGCCGACGCCAACGCCGCCGACGCCGACGCCGACGCCGACGCCGACGCCGACGCCGACGCCGATGCCGACGCCGACGCCGACGCCGGCGCCGACGCCGATGCCGACGCCGATGCCGACGCCGACGCTGCCGCACAGGGGGGGGGGGAACGGTCCCATTCGCGAGGCCTTCGCGAGGCTCACGGGCGTACCCATCCAGCGGGGGGCGGGGGGGCTCGATCCCACATGCATTGAGGGGGGGAGGGGGGGGAACCCTCGATCATACATGATCCAGGGTGCCGCCCCCCCCCAATGCTGGTGGAATCTGCCCGCCCCCCCCCCCCTCCGGCTGGACGGGGGAGCCCTGCGAAGGCCTCTTTCGAAGGCGATGGCCCCCTCCTGTGGCCGTGGCCCTGTGGGCGTGGCGTGGTGGAGGGGGGTTCTGGTGCCCCCGCCCCCCTGTGTGGGTGTGGCTGGTGCTGCGGTGTCGGCGGCTGCGGCGGCGGCGTCGTCGTCGTCATCGTCGTCGTCGTTGTCGTTGTCGTTGTCGTAGTCGTCGTCGTCGCCGCCGTCGTCGTCGTCGTCGTCGTCGTCGTCGTCGTCGTCGCCATCGTCGTCGTCGTCGTGGTTGTCATCGTCGGCGGCGGCGTCGTCGTCGTCGCCGTCGTCGTCGTCGTCGTCGTCATCGTCATCCCTGCCGGGCCCCGTGTAGGTGTGGGTTGGTGCTGCGGCGTCGTCTTCGTCGTCGTAGTCGTCGTCGTCGTCGTCTTCTTCGTCGCCGTTTTCGTCGTCGTCGTCTTCGTCGTCGTCGTCGCCATCGTCGTCGTCGTCGTTCCTCCGTGGTCCCATCTGGGAAGGGGGGCCTGTGGCGCCCTGGGGTCCATCCCATCTGGGATCGGATAACCGCGAGAGGTCTTTGCCCCCCCAATAATGGGTCCTCGTTTTGAAGAGAGCGCCCCACGTTCCTTTCCTGTCCTCCTCGTCTGCTCCTCCCTTCTCCCAGACAGCGCCCCGCGTTCCTCCTTCTCCTCCTCCTCCTCCTCCTCCTCCTCCTCCTCCTCCTCCTTCCCCCCTTTCATTCCTCCTGCCATTCCTGCCTCTGCCTTCCACACATGTCAACAATTTCGGCGCACACCCCATACGTTTCGTTGTCCGAACAGGGAGCTCCACCGCATGCCCAAACGGTGCCGCCCGCATGCGCCCCCGCAACCCACGCCGGAATACCCCATCACATCTTTCGTGGCCCCAGAGGGAACCCCACTCAAGGCAACAATGGTGCCGCCCGCATTCGCCCCCGCCATCCATTTTGGCACCCCCCTTACACGTTTCGTGGCCCCAGGGGGAGCCCCACCTAAGGCCCAAATGGTGTTGCCCGCATTGGTTCCCGCCCCCTTTTCGGCACACCCCCATACGTTTCGTTGCCCCACGGCGAGCCCCAACGAAAACCCAAATGGTGCCGCCCGCATGCGTCCCTTGCTATCCATGTCGGCACACCCCTCACACGTTTCGTGGCCCCAGAGGGAGCTCCACCCAAGGCCACACTGGTGCCGCCCGCATTCGCCACCGCCATTCATTTCGGCACACGCCTCACACGTTTCGTGGCCCCATATAGAGCTCCACCCAACGCTCCAATGGTGCCGCCCGCATGCGCCCCTGCCACCCATGTCAGCAAACATCCCATATGTTTCGTTGCCCCACAGGGAGTCCACATGGTGCCGCCCGCATGCGTCCCCGCCACCCACGTCGGCACACCCCTCACACGTTGCCTGGCCCCCATTGGGAGCTCCACCCAAGGCCCACATGGTGCCTCCCGCATGCGTCCCCACCATCCATTTCGGCACACCCCTCACGCGCTTCGTGGCCCTATAGGGAGCCCCAGCCAAGGCCCAAATGGTGCCGCCCGCATGCATCCCCGCCACCAATTTCGGCGGAGCACAGGGAGCCCCACCCATTGCCCAAATGGTGCAGCCCGCATGCGCTCCCGCCACCCATTCCGGCACAACTCTCGCACGTTTCGTTGCCCCACAGGGAACCCCACCCAAGGCTCAAATGGTGCTGCCCGCATGCGTCTCCGCCGCGCATGTCGACAGACCCCTCACACGTTTCGTTGCCCCCTAGGGACTTCCACCCTTCGAGCGCTTATTTGCACCATAGGGAGCTCCACCCAAGGCGAAACTTGTGCCGAACGCGTGCGCCCCCGCCATTTAATTCGGCACACCCTTCGCACGTTTCGTGGCCCCAGATGGAGCTCCACCCAAGTACCCAATGGTGCCGCCCGCATGCGCCCCCGCCGCCAATTTCGGCACACCTCTCGCAAGTTTGGTGGCCCCACAGGCAGCCCACCCAAGGCGCTCATGGTGCCGTCCGCATGGCCCCCCGCTACACATGTCGGCACACCCTTCGCACGCTTCGTGGCCCCATAGGGAGCTCCACCCAAGGCCCCACGTGGTGCCGTCTGCATGCGACCCCGCCACCCATGTCGGCACACCTTTCGCACGCCTCGTGGCCCCCAAAGGAGCTCCATTGAAGGCGCAAGCTGCGCTTTCCGCACGTGCCTCCGCCACCCACCACGGCACACCCGTTATTCGTTGAGTGCCCCCGTGGGGGTACCGCCCACTTGTGCCCCCGCCACCAATTTCGGCACACCCCTTCCACGCTTCATGGCCCCATAGGGAGCCCCACACAATGTCCCACTGCCACTGTTTGCATGTGTCCCCCTCGCACATCCCCTAACATATTTCACGCGTTTCGTCCTAGGGGCAGATCCACCCAAGGCTCCATGAGGAAATCCACTGGGAGCAATGTTCGCAACGACGGTATCCACACCTGCATACGATTTGGTCCTTCGCACGGGTATTTCGTTCCCAGAACTAGTTGATGGTTGCCAGCCCCCAGCGATGATTATTCCGCCGTCGTCGTCGTCGTCGTCGTTGCCGCGGTCTTCGTCATATCATCATTATTGTTAGTACTACTGTTACGATTTCTGCTACTGCAATTACTTCATCGACTAAGACGACGACGACGACGACGTCGACGACGACGACGCAGACGACGGCGACGACGACGACGACGACGACGACGACGACGACGACGACGACGACGACGACGACGACGACGACGACGACGACGACGACGACGACGACGACTACTACTACTACTACTACTACTACTACTACGACTACTACTACTGTCACTATTAAATAGTACTACAGTCGGCCCAGATTAGTAGATCGACCCTGCCAAATCAAGGGTACCCTTATGTCCTGTGCCTCGCGACCCATGCTTTCTGCATTCCTATAGCGCTGTGGCCCTCGGAAGGTATTGTGTCCTCTCGCGTGTCCTGTTCAATCGAGTCCGACAATAGTGCTGCTATTCTTACTATTGATACTGTTACTGGTTTGATACTGTTACTACCACTGCTACTACTATATTATTACTACTACTACTACGACGACGACGACGACTACTACTACTACTACTACTACTACTACTATTACTACTACTACTAATACTACTACTACTACTACTACTACGACTACTACTACTACTGCTGCTTCTACTACTACTACTACTACTACTACTACTACTACTACTACTATTATTATATTTCTACTACTACTACTACTACTACTACCACTACTACTACCACTACTACTGCTACTACGACGACGACGTCGACGACGACGACGACGACAACGACTACTACTACTACTACGACTACTACGATTACGTCGGCGACTACGACTGTTGCTGCTATTACTACGGGTACGACTACGACTACGACGGTGACTACGACTACTTTTGCTACGACCACTCATGCTATTATTACTATTCGTTTTTTTTTTTTTTTTTTTTTCAAAAAAAACTACTAGTCGTATGATTACTACTACGACTCCTGCTACTACTCGTAGTATTGGTTCTACTACCATCAGTCGCACACATACGGCTGATACTACCGTTACTGCGGCGACGACGGCGGCTAGTATTATGACGACGACTGTCGCTATTCTTGTTGCTACTACTACTACTACTACTACTACCACGGCTACTTCTGCAACTACTACCAGTACCATGCTTAATATACCCTGACGACTGCCAATCATATCATTACGACTATTGTAAGTATGGCCTTCATTGTTACAACGCCTACTGCTGCTACCATGACTAGTAGTGTGTTTCTTTTTATTCGTACTAGCACTAGTATTACCACTGCTACGACTACTACTACGACGACTTCTACGACTACTTTTATTCGTGCTTCTAGTTCTATTACCACTACTACAATTATTACGATTACTATGTGTATTACTCGTGCTCCGATTCGTATAGCGACTATTGAAGCGACGACGGCTATTCTTGTGATTTCCTTCGCCATTCGTACTACTGCAATTATAAGGGTTACTACTAATACGATCACTACTTCTACCAGTACTACGGGTCCCACTAGGGTTTTATTATGGCTACGACTTCTACTATTACGCTTACGGTTGCGACTACCACTACTATTGCTAGAACAACTGCTGCTATTACTACTACTACTACTACCACGGCGGCGGCGATTCTTATGACGACTTCTGTTGCTATTCG